AGAGAAGACTATACTCCACAAATATTGGCTGTTTTGTTAGAGAGTCATTGCGTTTACAATTGACCTTTGAGGCCTTTTGTCTTTTGTCTGTCATTCGTAAACAATAGCTAAAACAATGAAACTGCTCCGTCGACCAATTAGCGCTTCTGACTGGATTCCGGACAGATTTTGCGTCATCAGTTTGGAATTTCTGTCGCTGAGTCGCAGACGTTCCTCCTCGTGAAACTTCCCTCAGCGGCGATGAGCGAGGAGAATCGTCTGCCGTTCGCAGGCTATGGCGAGCAAAGTGTTCATCGAGGAGACAGATAAAAATTTCGATTTTATTACGGAAATACTGTTCCGATTTCTTGGATTTGGAGATTTTAAGGTTTCTATTGTCATAGAAAACTAGACTTAAAAACCTTTTTGGAATGAAATGTCCAGTGAAGTAATGAATTTAAAGATTCCTTTCTATCGTTGAGCAAATTTTGTGGGCAATCATACCAACCGGTCACACTTTTGAGGGCCAGTGCACAGCAAGATTGAGGAGTTTAGACACAGCAATAGGAGGTTAACCAAAGGATGCATTATACTTTACATTGTGCGTATTTTCAGCTCTTCAGAGCTAGTGAAACCCCATATCATTCCTCTCAAAAGTTTGCTTAGCTGTAGCGTTGAAAGAGGAAGGTAAATGACAGGTATTTGTGAGAGACTGTGAGCATTGAATCTTGTTGCTTTACTGCATTTTAATACTGTATTAGGCATACACCTGTAATTCTGTAATTAAATCCCGAAAACCAATAAAAGGTTTCCTTTAATTATTTTTTGGGGGCAAACCCAATGGAGATTTTAGGGTGATAATATTGATGATTAACAAGATGTAACTTTCGTCAGTGGGTCACTGGTGGGCCGGTTGGGTGTAAATTAGTAAAGTTTGTGGTGTACTGTGTGCTGTTTGTCATGATGTCAACTAACATTGAAAAAAATTCAGCTGTTTCAGAGGACGGACATGTCTTAACAGGGCTTATGGTTTTTATTTGGTCGTAAGCTTGGCCGGTATGCAGATTAAGAGGTTTTGAAATCCCTTTTCCAAAATAAACTCCCGACTTAAGCTTAAAATATATATTCATCCAAGTGCATGACCAGCAGGATCAGCAGTAAGAATAAAGAAAAAAAGGCCAAAAGGATATATAGTGTTAAAAAAGAGACCAAACAGGAAAAAAAAAAACAGTACAAAGGATAAGGATTGGATAAGGCAAAACAACAACTTTGCACGTGCATCACGCATTTTTGTACATTTCTTTGCTGTCAACTGCACGGCTATCCGTGAAAATGCCTAATTTCACGTTTTGTGAAGGACCTAAACAAGCAATGACAAAATTCATTCTCTTCATGAACTTGGATATGGCTGATAGAAATACAGCTCCAGAGGAGTTCGCTTGCATGTGACAAAGTAAGCGAGTTGGAATAATCACGATAGAGACTGAAAAAATGTGAATTCACTTTTCCATGCGACGGCAGCGGTGACCGATTCAAGCGTGAATGCCTGTTGTAATTAAACTCAAGCTTGTATTTTTTAGAAAGCGTCTTTAGTTTTCGGGCAGACAGTATTTTGAAATCAGATGGGGATTTTATATCAAACTGAAAGTTTCCTGACTGCGTGCATTTCTTTGGTGCATGAACCAGACAAGCCGTGATCGAGACAATAGCCGTCGTGTACGACTTAAGAAAAGAACTCAGGAGAAACTGTTCGCCGATTGGGCACAACAATACAAAGATTTTTTTGTGCCCAATCAGGAGCCGGCATCCGCTTGAATTTTTGGAAATAGTTCGGTGAGAGTCGGTACCCAGGGGCTCTTTTGCCCGTACTTGAAAACTTTCGTCTCACCTTTTCTCCCGACCCGACTGACTGCGCCTGGGTCTCCGAGCATGTCGTATCCCTTGCTAATTTGCACAAGCGAGCCGAGGCTCTTGCCCGTTACTATGTTACGTCATACTGGCAGGCGGAGTGGGTCAAGAAACTTAGGTGGAAAACAATAGAGTTACCTCCCCCCCCGTGCAGCATTTATTTATTTAGTTAATAAGCTTGTTCATTTGCTTAATTTTTTGCACTTTTAAAGTTTAAAGCTTGTGAAGTTTTGAGAAAAGAAAACACAAATTGACTGAGTTCCATATTCAGAGTTTTCGTATTAACTATAAGTTTACCATTTATAACAGGTTTGACTGAAGTAGAAGAATCAAGGAATGAAGATCTAGACCTCAGAGAGAATAATTAAGAAAGAGTAAAGAATAAAAAGAATATAAAAAAGGAGTGAAGAGAGTGTGCCTCTCCTGGTAATGTAGCTTTGAGAAAACTTCAAGTCATTGATACGTTTTTACCAGCAGCCATCGATTGTGTTACTTACCTACTTTCTCTTTTCACACTAATTTTGATTGTTGTTGTATACTGGTAAAATAGCCCTTGCGAGCTGAGATGAGAATGGGTCAAGCTTTCAAAGGTCCATAATAATAAAAGCTGCCTTTTATTAGAGAGTGAAGAGGGTTTGGACCTCTGATAAGACTCTGTATTGCACTCTCATCTCTGTATGTCATTTTTCTTTGGCTCTTTGGTAAAGGGTCTTATTGATCAATCATTTATCTCATCTAACAGCTTCCAAGTCTTGATAGTAAAATTGCTACCCCTTTAGTTCTCACTTCTCTAATTCAAATGTCAGTTTGAAGACAGTTTGTAATTTGAGATGAACAGTAATTTCTCTCTTTGGCAAGGGGAGACATGTATATTAGTTAAATTATTTCTAATATTAAAAGAAACAAATAATTATTATGGTTCTCATAAAGGAAAAAATACCAAACAACCACTTCACTTTTTGAGCCCAATGTGTAAAAAGTGTAACAAATTCTTTCTGTGTTTCGTCTTTGTACTCAAAATCAGTTTATTATTTTAATGATATTACATTGAGCTGAATTTGGAAGATTTTTTTCTTGGATAAGACCCACTTATATTGGTTCAGTGATTACTAATTATTCTTGTTAACCGTTTATAAGTAGTATAAATAAAGTATAAATTCTTGATCAGTTTGGCAACAGTAGGGTAACAATTTTAACAAACATGAAAAAAAAGGTTTTACTTTCGGAGACATTATCAGTTGGCTGGCGAAAGAGGAGGATATCAGGCAGCCAAACTCAAGAACACAATTAAACAAGGTGACTACATGTTCATACTATTAAAAACCTTGAAAAGGAACTTAGCTGTTGATCATTGGCAGTCGCAATTGTCAACTATTTGCATCTTTTTCATGAATTAATTTCTTTATAGTCAAAAGAAAGGTAAAATGAAGCTAACTCAAGGATTACGGCTAGCTTGAATTACCTTGATGGTCTAACATACTAAGACGGGTTGACACACTTTCTCAAATGAGTCGGTGACAGTTAAAAATCGCAGGCTAGGCTTGCTCTTGTTCAGAGACTGAGCAACTACGGAAGATGGTTTTTCATACACTTCACTCACCAAAGCAAGACTGAATTAAACTATTTAGATTCAGCACGAAATTTTGGCGGCCTAGATTTGTAGTTTAAAATGTACTTTATTAGTAAATCTGATTGCAATAGCTGGATAGAGGAAGAAAGAAGAGAAACCTCAATGAATTTTTTTGTGTTCTTACAGTTCTTATAGTGAAGCCTAGCCGATCATTCGAGGAAAAATAAAGATAAATATCAAACTGTTAATTCCTTTAATGCTGACACTGATATGAGGTGCCCGGCTGATCACATGTTGATAAGCCATCGTTCATTTCTGTTTACGCTTGAACATGTAAACATTCGAATGAAAGAACTGTTCTGCTTCGAACATGCATCTTCTTTTGTTCATAGCAAAAAATATAGGAAAAAATACAAACCTATAAACGAGAATTAAATTAAGTATGAAATACTCTCCCTTTACTTTAAATGGGAACCTTAAATATTCAGAATCCCCCTTAAAAATCGCCTAAATGTGAGGATGTTTAGAAAATCCTCTTGCAAACGATATTAATCTAGCAGAGACGCCTCCTTCGTGCGACTTCTTTTGTTCATAGCAAAAAATATAAGAAGAATTACACAACTATAAAGGAGAATTGAATGAAGTATGAAACAATCTACCTTTGCTTTAAATGGGAACCCTAAAAATCCACCTTAAAAATCGCCAAAATGTTAGGATGTTTTGAAAATCTTTTAGTAAACGATACTAGTTTAGATGCCAGACCTCTCCCGTCTCTGCAAATGCGCAGACGTTCTTCAGCTCTGTCGGCCTATCCATTACTCATCGATTACCCATTGATCATCGGCAATAATCAATGACTAATCAACTGATGACCCATTGATTACCCATCGATTACACATTGATGTCATTGACGAGATATGCTTGGATGCTATTGAGGTGAACGTCTATAATCACTGAGACGCCTCAGCAATACAGGCCGATATCACTACAAAGGAGACCTTGGCTCTAAAAACGTCCTTAAGTCATTCGCGGATTCCAGGTATTTTATAATCGCTCCTTTTCTTTTGATCTTCTTTAGGACCTACCTTTCGCTGTGCGAGCGTTTGTTCTGGCTGTGTCATGTCCTTCGTGAAGCTACCCTAACGACAGTCTGTTCCTTTTTTTGTCAAATGTGCGGGTAACGGAGAAAAGCGATTTCCCAAAATGTTCCGACTTCTAAAATTTCAGTCGAACTTCAAGCCATAAATAACCGTTGCCTCCCTCCAGTCATCATACTCAAAGCAGAAGTGCTCGCTTCGCAAAGAGTTTGAAAAATTCTTGGCCCATCTTTTCAGCAAGCCCTACGGATATTAATCCCTTCTTGGCCTGGAAAGACCGGCATGATAAAACGGTAGTCCATAGTGACGGGTGTTCCGACTCCCATCTCCAAAGTACTTCCAAGTGTAAATGCCCTAAACGCCTAGCATTCAAAAAAGCCAACTCCAACATCGGAAAACTACGAGCTATAGTTAAGGAAACCGGACGCTGTGGTGAATGGAACTAA